TTATCTCATAATTCCTAGCAAAATGTAATCTTAATTTTATGACTGAAGGGTTGAACTAATCAAAAAGTAAATATTTTACAGAGGACCTGCCCAGGTTTAAAGACATCCTAGTGGAATGACTTTCAATCAGAATCACTGTCATTTCCAAAATAGTCTTGCTTTTTAAAATTTCAATTCAAGTCAATACATTAATACATACATAATTTAATCGAGTGGCGTATTGCGAATCCTTTTGCAAATTCTTCATAATCTACATTTAGGATGCTCTGTTTATGTGTGGTTTCTCACCCATAGTAAAGGGGAGCAGATTTATATTTACAGATGGGATTGGAAGGATGATTGAAATAATATTCAATAATATTTTTCCATTGTTAAAAAAATAAAATTAAACAAAAGACTTGCCGTTCCGATCAGAAGCTATGCCCTTTCAACATAAGACTGCACGTGTTTGGTGTAACTTTTAAAAGAGCATGTGATCAGGTAGAAAGAGAAAAGAAAGCAATATGCATAGTCTAAAATGTAGACTTTGCATAGTTTCCAACGCTGTACATCAATATCAGCAGAGATACAGAGGACACAACAGGAGTCATATTTCTCAGAGATAAAGAGAAAATGGGATAATGTTCTTTCTGGACATGGTTGCGATTGGAACTGCAGATTGTGTTGCGTGAGATGCAAAGATTAATGACTTCTGATAAGGAATGAGGAGACACACAATCCTTCCTGGTTTTCATTCCTATCTTTTTTTCCCCCCTTACCTAGCATGAGCTTGACCATTGACCCTAAGGAAACAAATATGGATAGATAACACTATCTGCCAGTTTTCTCATCTTGCCAACTGTAAGTTCTGCTTGGCTCTACAAATGCAAAACAAGGTATCACAAATTCTGTACTATAAATTCAGCAAAAGTTCACATGAATATTTTGAATGCACACTCTTTTAATGTACACATTTTTGAAGGCAAGTCTTTTTACACCAAAGCCACATTTACTTGTGCTTATTATTCTATTCTGTTCTGTTCTTTGTTCATTGCTATGATACCAAATATATGGTTTTTGTTTTTATTTTATGTTATATTATTTATAATTTTATATGTATAGAATTTGGATTTTATAGTCATGGGAGACTGCTAAGGGAGAAGAAGAAGAAGGAATAGAATAGAACAGAATAGAAAATATGGAGTGGAATAGAATAGAATAGAATAGAATAGAATAGAATAGAATAGAACACAATAGAAAATATGCAGTGGAATAGAATGGAATGGAATAGAATAGAATAAGAAATAGGAATAGAGAATAGAATAGAATAGAATAGAATAGAATAGAATAGAATAGAATAGAATAGAATAGAATAGAATAGAGCTGGAAGGGACCTTGGAGGTCTTCTAGTCCAGCCCCCTGCTCAAGTAGGAGAACCTATACCTATATGAGATCTCTCATTCAACCCATCTCTACCTAGTTCAACTGTTTTAAGGTGAAGTTCTCAAACATCAACATCATTCTTTAAACCTATTCTATAATTCCTTCTGAATTGTTTTTTTCTTGGTTCTTTTTTCCCCCCAGTTTGGCTTTTGATGGCATCAAGAAAGACAGTCTGTTAAAAAAACAAGTCTGGATCATGAGTGCAAACCACATGGGGGTGGACATGGGCGGGTGTGAAATGAAAGGAATTCCAAAGCTTTTCTTCATGTAAACAGATTCCTCAAATAAGAATGCAAAATGCTTGATGCTTAATACTAAGTTTGGTGTAGTGGTGTAGCAGTGAAAGTACCAGACATTTGGGGCTTGATGTTACGTATTTCTTTTAGGGGTTTGCATATGTTCTAAGCATTGCATTGTTTACGCTTTATACTGTCTTGCATGTTTTGTGAGCCACCAAGAGTCTATGATTGTGATAGGATTTAAATTGATTGATAGATAAATAGATAGATAGATAGATAGATAGATAGATAGATAGATAGATAGATAGATAGATAGATAGATAGATAGATAGATAGATAGATAGATGGTAGATGATGATAGATGGTAGATAATGAGAAATAGAGAGACGATAGATAGATGGATAGATAGATGATAAATAGACACATAGATGATAGATGACAGATGATATATATAGAGAGAAATATGATAGATGATAGAGAAATGAGAGAGAGAGAGTGATAGGTGTGTGAGAGAGAGAGCCTTACTAGTGATCAATCTCCTTATCCTAATGCTCCTTCCCATTCTGATCTGGAGGGAGACTCCCAATCAGAAAGCAAACAAAAATTGCAACACGTTTTGTTCTATATTTTCTCTTGGGGGGGGGGGGGGGCTGCACCCAGATGGCAGAACAAGAGACTAGATCTCTGGCCTTCTTGCTGAAAAGCACACCAACATTTCTGCACTAATATTCTTTACCATTTGTTATCTTTCTCAATTATTTTTAGGGAACTTTGAGTCTTCATGAAACATCGCAACTTAATCTCTTTCATTATACGGTACATCATTCCAATTCTATTTGGCTAAAAGTCATTTTCGTTGTAGCAGAGCAATCTTTACCAAAATCAGAACTGCAAAGGTATCAAATGCCTGTAAGACAGATCTGTTTTTCCAAAACACAGTTAACATTAGCTTAGTACTTTAGCTTCTCATATAGCTAAGAGCTGTGTTTGCCTACTATGAAAAGCTTGGTTAGTTTTAACTTCGGCTATTTAACTACTGATGGGGTTGTGTTTGAACAAAGCTTGCTTGGTTAGTTTTTGCTTCAGCATGTTACAGAAACACAGAAAATAAGTTAATTCAATAATCTGGATATGTATGTTCTAGGAAGGCAGCTAAACAGAGGTGTACATATTCATCTATGCATTTTCATAGCTTTTTTTTCTTTATAAATATTCAGCACAATGGGAAGGATTACATTTACATTTTAAAAAAGAGAAGAAGACCCTGAAAGGTTTTTTGTTCCTGTTTTGGACCAAATACCCTCCTTGCTAACACTCTGGGAGTTTCTCAAAGTCAGGATTTCCTCCCCTGGAAAATCCCAGTCCTAGATGTTAGTGGGAAGCATTTGATATTAGATCTAAGCCATAGTAGTGTGGTGGTTAGAATGCAGTATTGCAGACTGACTCTGCTCACTGCCAGGAGTTCGATCCTGACAGGCTCAAGGCTGACTCAGCCTTCCATCCTTCCGAGGTCAATAAAATGAGCGCCCATATTGTTGGGAACAATATGCTGACTCACAACTTAGAGAGAACTGTAAAGCACTATGAAGCGGTATATAACTCTAAGTGTTATTGCTATTGCTATCTCAGAGAAGAAATTTGGCAATCTTGCAAATTCTGGAATATTGTTGCAAGGGTACAGGACTGCAAAGTAAATTGCTATTTAGTCACTAAATTGTGTCTGACTCTTCATAGACCACAGCACACCAGGCTCCCCTGTCCTCCACTGTGTCCCAGAGTTTGCCCAAATTCATGTTCATTGCATTGATGACACTGTCTAACCATCTTATTCTCTGTTGTCCCCTTCTCCTTTTGCCTTCAATCTTTCCCAATGTTGTGGTCTCCTCCAAAGAGTCCTGTCTTCTGATTAGGTGGCCAAAATATTTGAGCTTCAGCTTCAGTACCTGTCCTTCCAAAGAACAGTTAAGGTTGATTTCCTTTAGGATTGACAGAGTTGATCTCCTTGCAGTCCAAGGGTCTCTAATGAGTCTTCTCCAACACCACAGTTGCAAACTAAATAGGGTTACTTAATTAAAGTATTAGCACAGCTCTTTTCAGAATGTGTTATTTTGCCCATTTGTTTCCAGTAATAAACTAGGCATTAGATTAAGGCAAGTGCACTAAAAACAGGAAGTAACTTCAACTCAATTGAAGCGGAGGCAGTTTAAGAGAGAATCCAAGCATTTCATCAAGGAGCCTAAGTGGTCTGATGGAACAAAAGGGGTAATGTTCTGCTAAAATAAAAGTAAACAAAGCAAAATAAAACAAAATGCCAGTGATAAAGCTAGTGTATCTGCATCCCAGGAATTCTAAGCATGTGATTCTGCTGATGATGAATGCTGGCCTTGAATTCCTGAAATATGGAACATTAGTAGAAACCCAATAGGAAATCCAATTCATCAGAACAAAAGGATTACAAATTATACACTTGTGATTTCTGAGATAACAATAGTGCTACAGTCTTCAATGCATTGGTGTGAACTGCAGATTGAAATGCAGATTATACAGAATAACAGAGTTGGGAGGGTCCTTGGAGGTCATCTAGTCCAACTCCCTGCTTAGCCAGGAAACCCTATACCATTACAGAAAAATGGTTGTCCAATCTCTTCTTAAAAATGTCCAGTGTTGGAACACCCACAACTTTGTTCCACTGATTAATTTTTGTCACTGTCAAGAAATTTCTCCTTAGTTCTAGGTTGCTTCTATCTTTGGTGAGTTTCCATCCGTTGTTTCTTGTCCTGCTTTCAGGGGCTTTGGAGAATAGCTCAACTCCCTCTTCTTTGGGGCCGCCCCTGAGATATTGGAACATTGCTATCATATCACCCGTCTTTCTCTTCATTAAACCAGCCATGCCCAATTCTTGCAACCATTCATTAGTCCAATTGAGCTCAACATTTCCATTGCTAAGTTAGTTTTTGTGTTACTTTCATGTATGAAAGAAGGGATTTGGGAACCCTGAATACTGCCACTAATTCAGGGATGTATGTAAGGCGGTTAAGAAAAGTCAACATGGGACTCAAATTCATGCAATCTAAGCCCCACCCCTTTAAAAATGGTCATAGTCACTATGTTGATTTTTTTACCTCCTTTTTTTAGAACAGGGGTGTGGAACTATGGCCCTTTTTATGACTTGTAGACTTCAACTCCCAGAATTCCTGAGCCATTCCATGCTGGCTCAGAAATTCTGGGAGTTGAAGTCCACAAGTCATAAAGGGATCATAGTTCCCCACTGTTGGTTTAGAACATTCCTGCACTACTTTAATTGTTATCTGATGGCTTTTTGCAATCACTTTGGCTTACCTGTTGATGCTATTTTTTTGTGCTAACATCTGCCAGTCTTTGCCTTTGGCACTGGGAGTGTCAAAAGTTGCACATATTCTCTGCCTGATAGAGTAAGGTATCTTAAAGGCTTGTGGGCCCATCTGAACAGGAAAGTTGTCATCGTGCGAAAAAAAAGTGATTGTTCCTCTTTCATTCTACATGGGAAAAAATAAATAAATAATGGCTTAAAGCGGGCACTTCTCTCTCCCAAACCAACTTGTTTAATTCACCAGAATCCACTCTGTAAACAAACTGCTGTTTGTGTAAAGCAGAAATGGGCTCTTTAATTTACACAAACTGCTGTTTGTGTAAAGCAGACATCTGGGGCTCTTTAATTGTTAATCGATATAAGCTGATCTATTTATGACTCTGCAATTATTTTGTCTGATTCCCAGATGATCGAATGGAATCGTCCTTTCAAAGTGAATTAGGGCATTGATTTGCCGGCCAAACCCACTCCCTCTGACCCAAATTATCACCTCAAATCAAATCAACTTGTTGAATCAATCTGGCAACTGGAATCAAATCAAGAACGATCCTGACATTCCTACCAGCTAGCAAAGCCAGTTTGGAGAAAAGCTGAAAATGGCACTGAAGGTTTGCTGGTGACTCACTCCTGCATGTAAAGAAACACGCATCATCATCTCATTAAGCAGTGAACACAGAACAACATCTTATTTTTAAGACTGTTAGTGGGAAATGTGACATTTATTGCACTGGACTAAGGCTTGTGGGCTACTTTGCATGACTAGGTGCTAAGAAGTTGAGCATTGATATCCAATATCTAGGTTCTGTCTCGGTTTACCTTCCCAATAGAGTTGGAAGATCATTTAAAAGCAGTTTATTAGGGTACCCTGATAAAGTGGGATCTCCCTCTGAAAGGGGAGAACCCCGAGACCCATCTTACATTCCTTTTTGTACTTAACACAACAAAGAAAACGCAAGAGGAAAGTTGATTGGATGGGATAAAAGTAACCTTCTTTTGAGGGTAAATCAACTACAAAGGTGGTTTGAAGTTAGATAGCCAGTTGCCAGTTGACTCTAAGAAACCTTTTCTTAGCAGGAGATAGTCTCCGACCATCCTTCTGTAGCTTATCTTTTCAGTTTAGGAATGTAGGAAGCTTTCCTACATTCCAGTCTGTAATGAGCCTGAACATAATTTCAAAAGAGAGAAAATAAATCAAATTAAAAGGCAAAGGAACTATATTATTTAACAAGTTACGAAATCCATGTCATGTGCCCCTCGGTATAAAGCAAACAGACGCAGGTACGAATTTCCCAGGCTCTGTGATGAAAAATGGTCCACCCCCTTATTTTCATTGTGGGGGAAAAATAATGCATTTGGTTGACTTACCATATAAATAAGTAAGTAAGTAAGTAAGTAAGTAAGTAAGTAAGTAAGTAAGTAAGTAAGTAAGTAAGTAAGTAAGTAAGTAAGTAAGTAAGTAAATCCAATTCTTGCTGCATTTTGTTGAGAACTCTTGACTTTTACTAGGTTTTATTTTTTTTTCTACTCATACCTTGACTTGAAGGGATTGGCTACAGTATTTTCTTCAAGCAAAAGCAGACCTGCTAGCACAGATCTATAGTCGTCTTTTGCAAGAGGATGTAATTTAAAGCAGTTTTCTATGTCTCTAGTTCAGTGTCGGCGAACCTATGGCACACGTGCCAGAGGCAGCACTCGGAGCCCTCTCTGTGGGCACACGTGCCGTTGCCCCAGCCTCGCCTCCCCCCATGACCCCTTCCTCACCAGCAGCCCCCCTGGAGGAGAGTTGCCCCTGAGCGTGGCCCACACAGAGCAGCACAGCCAAGGACATGGCAGCCAGGCAGCGTAGACAAGACTCTGCCCTCATGCCCCATCCAGTTGATGCTGCGGGGCGCAGGCAGAGGGCATGGCCGCCATGGCGCTGCTGGGCTGCCTGGGCGATCTGCAGTGGGCCCTGGAGGCAGTGAGTGGCCCTGCGGGCAGGTGGGGGATGGGATGGGGTGGAGCAGTGGCGGGGCAAGGGGTGGAGTGGGGGCGGGGCCGTTTTTGGGCACTCGGTCTCTAAAAGGTTCACCATCACTGCTCTAGTTCATTATTTGCCTGTTTCCCAGCTTTTTTTTTCATTTTCCCATGCAATTCCTGAGACCATAAGCTATATGGGTAACAAACTACCTCCCCCCACACACACTTCTATATGTTTCCCCCATATCACTTTCTCCATATTTTCTGTATCAGGATATTTTGCTCTTTATCTGCAATGTATTGGTGCTAGCGTATGCTAAATATTTCATGGGAATGTTTCTACAAGTCTTTTCATATAACATTTATGGCTCATCTCAAAAAACAGCAATGCAAAGCAATAGGAAAGCTGCGAGTACATCATATTTCCAGATTGTTTTAAATTAAATATGCAACAGATTTGGTACTCTGCTCCTTGAAGATAAGCTTCTGCTACCTGCTTTATCAAACAAACAAACCAATGAAATGCACTCACGGTGATAAATGGAAGGACTGAGCTCATTTCCCCCCATATATTTCTGAATTCACTTTGTCTTGCATTTATGTTTTGAAAATAAGAATTAAAATAGGGCTACCATCACTGGGCTGCAAAAATTCAAAAGAACCACTAGATGTCAGAAAACAAATATAGTAAATTTTAATACTTGGCTACTATCTAGTGGCCTTCTGGATGTTTACAGCCCAGTTATGATTATCCTTTTTTTTTTTTTTATTTTATAAAAAAAGCCATTTGTAATATCAGCATCCTTTTTTTAATAGATAGTGTATCACATCTTGCAATGTAGCTTTCTTTCACCTGTAATCAGGACTGTCAAATTATTGTTCCCTCCCAGAAAGCAAATTAATCTGATTATGATGAAAATGTAATTCGGCACATTTATAAAATGATTCTTCCTCTTGCTTATCTGAGTACTTCACTCCATAAACAGCCAAAGATTTGTTAACTTCTCTTTAGGGGTGATTGGTGGGCAACGGGGAATAGAATTGTGTGTTTCCTGATTAGCAATTCATATTCTTCTTTTGTCTATGCCTGTTCTCACATCTGCCTGATTAATTAGTTTATCACTCAATTTAGCAATCCTTGCTAACAACTTTCCAAGAATCACACAGTCCTTTATTCATATTAATGATAAATTGTTCAACTTTTGTTTCAGACTTTTATATGGGATGTGTGGGTGATGCACCTAAAAATCAGGTATATATTACCATACATATATTCAAAGGAGGTGGCAACCACAACAGTTCAATTGAAAGCCTGCCTGATTTTTAGGTGCATCACTCATGCAACTCACATAAATATACATATAACCATACTCTGTGAACACTTTTTGCACAAACAAAGCATCAAAGGAGGATAGCGATATGACTGTGGAAGGAAGAACTTGCCTCTAGAATTGATGTCTGGATCTGTAGGATCTGTTCGTGGCCTTTGACTTGTCTGACACAGATTTTGCATGAGAGTTGTGTGGTGGCAGGAGTGTAGCGCTCCAGGGAAAAGGCACAGTGAAGTGGCTGCTTGTTGTTGCGCCACACACGAGAAAAAGGAACTTCCTAGAAAAGAAGGGACAGGATGGAAGTGGCTTGCAAATTGACCAAACAAAAGATTAATGTGGAGAAAGAACTGGAGAAGATAACAAAATGCAAAGACACGCAAGTAGAAATACAACAACTGTGGCAAAAGAAAGCAAAGGTAGTACCAATAGTAATAGGCATCTTGGGTGCAATCCCAAAATAACTGGAGCACCACTTGAACACCATTGGCATTGACAAATTCGCCATTAGTCAATTGCAAAAGGCACCTTTACTCAGAACCGCTTACATCCTGCAATGACACCATCAATCTTCAGCATCTGCCTATCTCAGGTCCTTGAGAAGGACTTGATAGGTGAATAAAAATGTCAATTCCATCTGAACATCTGGCTGACTGGGCAACAAACCATAATGATAAGTGCTAAATAAAGAGGCTTCGCGATAAACATTTGCTTTGAAGGAATAAGAGATCACCTGTGGATAAGGATGGCTAAACAAGGCAAGGTATTAGGAAGCGCACTGTAGTTTACGTGAGTGGTGGGTTTTGAATCTTTAAACTATAATACAGTTGGCAATTTAAGAGCATTGCTCTGCATACTTTTACCAACGAGCCACTATTGTAGGTCTTGAGAAATCCCTTATTGGTAGACACAATGCAGTGACTGGTTGACAAGCATGAATGAAGGCTGAGGAACAAGAAGGAAGGCTGAGGAAATGCTTCTCAATCTGTCCTCTTTATCCTGTCTTTTCCCAGATGCTCTATGCCAGGGGTCCCCAACCTCCGGTCTGTGGACTGGCACTGGGCTGTGGCATGCCAGAAACCAGGCTGCACAAACAAGCGAAGCCCCATCCGAGGGAATGCAGGCAGCATGCAAAACCACACCCTCTTCGTTCCGTGGAAAAACCTCTCTCCACGAAACCAGTCCCTGGTGCCCAAAAGGTTGGGGCCACTGCTCTACACTAGGGATGTCCAATCTTGGCAACTTTTACCAAGGCTGGCTGGGGAATTCTGGGAGTTGAAGTTGCTAAGGTTGAACACCCCTCAACTTATTTTGCTGCTTTTCCCCCAAGGAAGATAGATCCCTTTTTCAATGAAGCACTGGGATGAAACTGCTCATTATATTCCCCTCCCCACCCAAATGGACTTCTGTAAGTTATGTGGATCCTTGACACATTCTTTGAATCAATGTTGGAACTAACTGTTTTCTTCACAGATTGCCAGATTTTCATGTTAAAGTCAGTCGAAGCAGGAAGACAGACAGGTCATGACTGGCACATTAAATTGCATAGGGACAAAATAACAAATAATGGAAAGTTGATAAAAGAAGGTTTTAATAATAAAGATCCCAGGGTCTTGGTTGGTTCAGGTGCCAAACTATCCATCTTGAATCAATAACATCATCATCAATCAATCTGCTGCGATGAAAAGCTCTTCACTGAACATTATGGACTGTAATCTACCAATCTGGATCAGTGTGAGTTGGTAGATAGATGGCTTTCAGCTTTCCAGTCTATGCTGGGAGAGTGGCCTAAAGTCATAGAGATGACTTCTGTATTTAAGGGAGAAAAGAAGCCCAGACTTTCAACTCCTAGACCAACACCTTAACCTACTATACCACTTTGGCTCCCTCCCAACTTCAATACCTGAATGTCTATGGAGATTCTCAGTCATCCAGTTCATGGTCGTCTCAAAGGTGCTTTTTCGAAAGAGAATTGGATGAAGTTTTTCCTTGAGGAAGAAGACATTTTGTTTCTATCCAAGAAGCTACATAAGTTCAGACTGGATGGTGAAAGGGATGGAAGGGTTAGTTCTGACAGCTTGAGGGGGGGAATGGAAGGATCACATTTCTTTGCAGTCATCTAGCACTCTCTCTGATAGATGTTGAGGCCACTTGGGAGTTTATCCGTGCCCTCAGGGTCACTTGAATCCGAGTGCAAATGGATGTGGAATTTTCTTTGAACTGCGCTATAAACAGGAGATAGGTTATGTCATATTTCTCCCCCTCTGTTGAGGGAGGGTTGTTCAATTCTAACATAAATGGCTCTTGCCATCTTCAAAGAAGATTCCACACCCATTTTGGGTGATTCAGGTGACCTTGAGGGCACAGATAAATCCCCAAGTGGTCTCAACAGCTCTCAGAGAGAGTGCTAGCAGTGGTTCTTAACCTTTTTGAACGAATCGCCCCCTTGAGCCAATGAGGAAGTTGTCATCGCCCCCCTCCCCCAACATAACCTCTCAATCACAACATAGGAAATAATTCTTCAATTTATGCAAACACTTTTTTTGTTTTCTTTAAAATTGTCATCAGGACATATCGATGCAAATAATTTATTTCCAGTCTTTTTCCCATATCTCAACTGTTTGAAAAATTTTGGTGCCACCCGTCACTTTATTCCCAAACTTCGTGATACACGTATTTCATTATTATCTTATTTATTCAAGACACTTAAATGTAATGACCACTGAAAACAAAATTCAATTGCAAGAAAGTGAAATGCCCGAAAAGAAAAACAGTAACATTTAATGATTGAATTACAAGTGAAATTTAGGACACAAAAAGAAATATAAAAAGGGTAGAGGCTGCTGCGCAACGTGCATGAAGATAAGTGATGCGTATTCACATATGTACGGCGTTCTGTACTGAAGCTAGCTGGAGGAACATTTGAAAACACAATTCAATCCACTAATAGCGAGCGATCTGATGTTTTTGTACGACAGATATGCAGCGATTCACTGTATGAAAAAGTCTCAAAAGTGTCCCCAAAACTTCTCGCTCCATCGCCCCCATATCGCCCCCTTTTTGTTCCTTCGCCCTCACGTCGCCCCTTTTTGTTCCATCGCCCCCCTGAAAAATGAAATCGCCCCCTGGGGGGCGATATCGCCCAGGTTAAGAACCACTGTGCTAGATGACTGCAAAGAAATATGATCCTTCCATTCCCCCCCCCCCCCAATCCAGTCAGAACCTATGAAGCTTCTTGGATGAGAAACAAAATGTCTTCTTCCTCAAGGAAAAATTTCATCCAATTGTCTTTTGAGACCCTGTTTCAAACCAAAGGTCCTCTCTATCCAGAATGTGGAAGTTATCTGAAGTGGGGAAGAAATGACTTGTGTCATGAAGTTGCAAGGAAGAAACAATGCAACAAGGTTGTGCTTCTTTCCGCCTCATGGACCTTTCAAGTCAAACTGCCCTACGCTAAGCTAAAATCAACACAATCAACTCTTCCTCTGACATGATAGAGGAAGTCTCCGGAATTGTAAATAAAACAAAACATCAATAAAAACAATTGTAGCATACACAGCAAAAGGAAGCAAACAACAATATGTAACTTATGAGTTTCCTTCCAAACCACTGGTTCATTAAAACACACCCTCTCCCGCAAACACACACAATAGCTCTTAAGTAAAGCCTTGCGTTTAGAACCTGTTTCAGCAAGTAAGAGCAAGATACTAATTGTGATAAAGAAAACAATAAAAGCAACATTATAAATTGTGATTAAAAAAACAAGATAGAAACATTATAAAGCGGAAGTGTAATTAGTTTTCTCTTTAAAAATTATCTCTTTTTTTGCAGATGGGAGGAAAAGAAGAGAAAGGGAAGCTGAGTTGTTAGAGCTGAGTATTATGTTGTTGAAGGAAAATATATAATAGAAGTCATGGATAATGCTGAGTTAGGTAAAATCTTTCAGGTTATTTTTTATAATCAGTTTCATTTCTGTTTTAATTTGGGCTGTCTTGCATTGTCCTAAGATAAAGCCCCCAAACCAGGTTGTTAATGATTTATTCTAATATAGTTAAAAGTTACAATCTACTGTTTGAAAACTGAATGTTATTATTTCACAGTAGCATATTAATTTTTAAATATAATTAATCCCTTAGTGTCAAATCTCTTACAGCTTAATTATTATGTTTTATTTTTGCTCTTTTAATGATAGGAATTTAAAAGCTACCTCAAGCCAAAACTGGACTTAAATGCAGAATGCCATTATTAGAAAAAGTCAAGAAGTTGTTTACTATTAACTTCAATGATTTTTTCCCCAACTTCTTAATCTATTTTACAGCCAAGTGGTGCAGTGACCTAGAGGTGAAAATGCTCACCTACCACTCAGAAAGTTGATAGTTCAATGCTAGGGAGCATCAGAATTTTCTCTATCAGGGCGCAAAAAGAAAACATCTGCTGCAAATCCACATAGGCATCAGAAAGGGCATCCAGCTCAGCTCCATTCAGTCACCCTGACCCCATTCTGAAGCAAGGGATTAGAGCAAGGGTAGGCAACCTCGGCTCTTTTATGACTCATGGACTTCAACTCCCAGAATTCCTGAGTCAGCTATGCTGACTCAGGATTCTGGGAGTTGAAGTCCATGAGTCATAAAAGAGCCGAGGTTGCCTACCCCTGGATTAGAGGGTTCCAGCTCCACTAACCAATTATTAACCATAACTGACCTAGCTTATTTTCAAGGTCAGCCAAGATGACATCATCTGTTGGTTGACCTGATAATGTTTGACAAAATCTTTTATTTTAATCAGTTGAATGCCCAGATCTCTACTTCTACTGAACTGGAACTTGATCATAAATATTTTATTTATTCCAAATGTTCTTACTGTAGACTGCCCAATATTCTAGTCAAGATGATCTGAAACTATGTTCCCCAAATCTTTTCATAAATCTATAATGTTTGTTGGACATTTTGGAAATGGGTGAGGTAAAAGTACAGAATCTATTTCATTGTTTAAAAGCCTTAGATTTTTATAATAATAATAATAATAATAATAATAATAATAATAATAATAATAATAATAATAATAATGACGACGACGACAACAACAACAACAACAACAACAACAATAACAATAACAATAATAATAATAATAATAATAATAATAATAATAATAATAATAATAATAATAATAATAATAATAATAATAATAATATCCTGGAAATGTGGCTTGTCCATAGATAACCAACATATTAAACTATACATTTAATCCAGAAGTCTCTGGACTGTGTTAAGAGAAGCAATGAACCTCACAAAGTCATATGCCTTGAAGGTTTGAAATTGCTTGGTTATTAAAAATGGAAAATATACTCATCCATTCTGCACACATATTAGTCTTCCTATGCAAATACCTGACATGCTGTGAATGGTTTAATTCTCCAGAGAAAAGGGGGAATATCAAGAACAGAGATCTGAAGGCTGAAGGTATTCCCTTTGAAATGCAGCAGTTTTGGTTCTTCCAGCAATTGTCCTCCCTGGTGTCTTTCACCTGAAATCACATCCTGCAACAATGGAGAACAGAAAACAAATATATTGTAGGCTAAATGTTGAAAAAATTCCCTCCGTGCTGAAGGTGATGGGATGAGAACTAGAATTTTGCTAAGGTGTTATTCTAAAAGAAAAGCTCCCATGGATCAATCCAACTATCCATGTCCTGCAAGAGAGAGAGAGAGAGAGAGAGAGAGAGAAAGAGAGAGAGAGAGAGAGAGAGAGAGAGAGAGAGAGAGAGAGAGAGAGAGAGAGAGAGAGAAGGGAAAGAGGAGAGAGAGGAGAGAGGAGAGAGGAGAGAGGAGAGAGAGGAGAGAGAGAGAGAGATGTTTCAGAGATGCTATTGCTCATTTCAAATTATGTCTCTTTTTCAGTTGTTGTGTATAGCTTTTGTGTGCTTCCCATCTCAAAGTAGCAGAAAATTAAATCACAAAGGTTTGAGAATTTCAGTTTCAGAGGATGCAAGAAAAGGGGCTTTGTGGCCTTAAAGCAGGGAACCTCAATTCAACTCTCCATGGCCAACTCTCCATGGCCAACTCTCCATGGCCAACTCTCCAAGGTCATCTTGCCACAACCAATTTGCTGCAGTCAATTCACCTTGGCCAACTCACTGTGGGATACCTCCTCATGGCCAACTTACCGTGGGACAACTTGCTGCAAGATATGAGTTACACTAATATCAAAGAAATAGTCCAATAAAATCATTAAAGAAAAAATGACAAAGGAGGGCCAAAATGAAACGGGAATGACAAAAAATAATATATTTTTTTTAAATTATTTTAAATAATTCAATTGAATTGTTGAGCTGTCTGACAGCAAGTTGTTCCATGGCGAGTTGTCCCACAGTGAGTTGTTCCATGGCGGGTTGTCCCGCAGTGAATTGGCCACGGCAAGTTGACCACAGCAAGATGTTCCATTCCATCTGCAGAGAACGAAAGACAGCATGACTGCCCAGTCTATCCGACCCAGGAGCTTATTCTATCCGGATCAGAACTTCAGCCTTTGCTTTCAATGAATCAATTGTTAAACAAGATTGCATACGCTATTGTATGGATTTAATTTCGTGAGATCGTTTGATGTTTAATTCTTCAGTACATTGTCTTCCTTGGGTAAGGAAACTACTGGAGGTAGATTATCAAATATTTGCCTTCTGCAGCTTGTGGATGTTTCTAAGGACTTTGCCAGTTGGGAACGGGAGAATGTCTGCTAGGTTTTTCTTTGTTTTCAAGCTTGGAAATTCTATGGATCCTATTGTTTAGCAGTTTCTTTATTTTGTGCATGAATCGTTCCAAGCTTTTGGCATCCAGATGCCTCGTCGAATACTCAGAGCTCATTACTCCTGATCGAATACAGAAGAGCTGTAAGCAAGAGCTTGGGAAAAAAAAAACACCACCAGAATTAAAATATGAAAACCGTGCACTGGACTGCATCGCATTTGCTCGGCTAGAACTACATCTGGCTCTGAATCCCTCCATTTACTCAGGGAAAAAGGAAAGACGCTTCTTGCTGGGAGAAATGTCCGTTAGGACGGAGCTGCACATCATGTTCAGTTATCTGGAACTTCCTGTAATCCTTCCACTTCTTTGTGGGAAAAAAAAAGAAAAAGGGAAAAGATCTGGCAGGCCATCTTTTATGGCATATGACCAGGTGTGGAAGACACACTTAACATATTGCATCAAGCTTCTTTTGTTCTGAATAAGCCATCTGAGGTTTCAGGCAGACTTTGAGAAGAAAAGAGCCAGCCATGTACAGTTTTCTGCATCCCCGATCTTTACTATCTGGCTGGCACCTTGTGTTTCAGAGGGCAAAGTTAGATTTAACTATTGCTTGTAATTGGTCCTTACAACTGGGTTTGTCTTGACAGGCTATTTAAACCTTCTCTGCACTCTAGAATGTCTGCACAACTCCTCCCCCTTTCCCTGTATCTCTGGGCACAGAAAAGAAACGCAAGCACATTTTTATTATTATTGTTTGTTTATTATTTAAATTTATTATAGCCACCCAACTCCAGTGCATTCTGCCGCAGGTTACCTCCCAACGGCCGATACGCTCCCACAGAGTGGGTCTCCTCAGGGTNCTAGGGAATTTTAGTGGGGTTTTTAAGGGTAATTTTAAGGGTAATTTTAACGATTGGCCTTTACGAATATTTTCTTTTAATTTGGTTTTAATATGGATATTTATTGTAATGTTGTTTTATAAGGCTGTTAGCCGCCCTGAGTCCGGTGAGGAGAAGGGCGGGATACAAATTAAATTATAAATAAATAAATAAATAAAATAGAGCATACCCCCTTACCCCTCCTCCCCAAAACCCTGTGCATTTTACAGCCCCTGGACTACATCTGGCCCTTTGATTGTCCCTGTGCAGCTCATGTGAGGACAATTGGAAATTAGAAATCAAATATAAATAAACATGCTGCGAAGGGCAGAAGAAGAGGCTGATTCACGTCTGTCTCTGTGCAGTCACCATGTCCTCCTTCAGTCAGGTGGCCAGAGAGGATGAGGTGCCTACGCAGTGCTCGTCCCTCACCTGGAGCAGCCTGAGGAGTTGAGTTGATGGAATTTGAGGTTACATTGGTCTGGCCCAGTGGTGGGATTCAGACAGTTTGCACCAGTTCGGCAGAACCGGTAGCTAATTTTTTGTTGCCCAGACTCAGAATGGACTTCCTGAAGCGGCATCCACACAGAGAACCAGTTGTTCACATATTTGAATCCCACCACTGGTTTGGCCCTCCACAACAATCCCAGTTCCTTATGTGACCCTTTGGGAAAGTCAATTGCCCACCTTGTGTTAAACATCTGGAAAGGCCAAGAATGGTTTGGCCATCTTACCTGAAATGAACAGGGAGTGTTGTCAACACAGTACACTCTTAGGCTGTAATCCAGAGAGTTGCAGGACATGCAGCCAAAGACGGCTACTTTCAGTTCTTTAACAGAACAATCAGACAGTGGCTCTCCAAAGAGAGCATAAGTTCCAAAGGAGTCCAAAAGGATATGACAAGCATATGGGTCCAAGAGGCAGTAACAAGAAGTGGTTTCTTCCTCTACAGACATCACTTCCTGGATACGTCAGAACATTAAACCCAGAAAAAAGAAAAGCAAAAGTGACTTGACAGAAAAAGAAATTACATTAAAACAGGTTCCATACAAATTCTACTTGCAGGTTTTGTTTTGTTTTGTTTTTGCATGAAAAAAAATATAACTTGGAACAGACTTACTCTATACACTATAGGTAGACTATTTTCTTGTATTTGCAGGTGAAGAACTGCACTTGGTTGAGTTAGAGTTTCTCCCTTTTCTCCGAGTTGGGGGTTTGTGATCTCTATTTAGTTTTAAACTCCTTCAAATTAACTTTAGTGTTTAATGTCAGGCATGAAGGATCAGGATCTCACACACATGTTCCAGTTCAGAAGATTTATTGCTCAAGCCTGTACACAAGAATTCAGTCAACTGAAGTTCAAAACTAAATTGGCACCAGATAAGGATCATTGGAATTTAAGGGGGTTGGGCTTGGACCGTTTGTGGCAATGTAATGACTCTAGGCCGATGACTCGCTTAACCCTGCACTTCCCAGCTCTGCCTGCTCTTTTCCTATCTCTATACTTCTGTTTCGGTAACCTGTCACAGCAATATGTTGTTTATCATGAGTAATTGCAATTAGAGGAATCTTTAGGATCCCTCAAACAGGAAGTTGGGGGTTACATGTGGTTTTGAATAGGCTGCTTGCCAAATCTTGATATGTGTTGATGAAAATACTGATAAATAAGTGTTTACATTGAAGACTGTTTAGTCATCAGAGCAAACAATTCTAAGGTTATATTTGGAAATGGAAACCCCCAAACTAAAATCTCTCTCTCTTTTTTTTCTTTTTTTTTCTTTTCTTTTCTTTTCTTTTCTTTTCTTTTCTTTTCTTCTTTTCTTTTCTTTTTTCTTTTCTTTCTTTCCTCCTTTCCCCCCCCTCTCTGTCTCTTCCTATCATCTATCTTTCTATCTATCCAATTATGTTTATATACTGTCTATCTCAAGGTTGACTCTAGGCTCCAAATACATAGGTGAATCTTCTTGCTTTCACTGTTAAGTATCACAAACATCTTAGCAATGGTCTCCAACTCTTCTCATTTTTATCAGCTTCATCTATTTCTGACAGTAATTTTGCTTACCTCCCATTTGCCTAGATGCTTTCTTTTTTTCAAATGAATATTCCAATGCTCAGAGTTCACATCTGCACAATGTGGGATTGTCAAGGCAAATGGAGTAGAGACCATCAGTTCTATAGGTCCACAAGTCACTTCTGGACCTAGAAGGATTTCACTTCCTTCCAGCTGAAGGCTTCACATTGGATACATAAGAAATGTTGAAAAGGAAAGAAACACAACATCAAATTATTTTAACACACACACTCATTACATACAATATTTATCTTCATGCCTATGTTCCATTTATATTTGCTCAGTTGTATAATTAATGCCTTTAAAAAAATGTAACAAAATCTCAAGGCTGTAACCATGAATGGCACACAAACAAAACAGAGAAAAACACTGAGAGTTAGGTAAGTAAAGAAAATGATATATACTGTATGTCGGACAAAATTCATCCTATATACCATCCTTCCACAATCAGACATTTTCCAGATGTACAAAGACTATAACTTTCAGAATTCCTTAACAAGCATTGCTGCAGTGGATTTTGCAACCATTTGGGAAGGCTGATATGAGCTGAACCATACATAGCCAATGTATACTATCCACACAGTACATAAAGGTGCCAATAGATTCCAGAACTGCTAAAAAAAAACAAAAGGAGATCCTGATAAGTTCAAGATTCAAGGACCAGATCCTACAACTAACTGAAATGTCTACTTTGCCCCTGCATTTACAAAAACAACACCATCACACATCCCCAACAATTGCATATGCAAAATCAGAGGCAACTTCACATGGACTGCTGTTAATATGATGCACGGGAACATCTATCAATAATACCCTTCTAGATTTTACATAGAACAAACAGATCATATTTTGTGTAAAGCAATTAATGGCTACAAGTTTGAAATCATGACTCAAAACATGGACTATTTATTTATTATTTATAATATATAATATAACATATAAAGATCAAAGGAATTCAAGAAGACCATTTAGACCATTTAGACCATTTGTGGCAATGTAATGATTCTAGTCTGATAACATGCTTAATTCCACCCCTCAACTCCACCTGTTCTTCTCCTACAAGGTGTCTACATTTGAAGGAAGGGACCTGGAAAATGCCACCCTAGGAAAATCAGATAATGTTAGGGGAGATGACCCCATAGATAGCCTGCAAAATATGAGAGTATTTGAAGTTCCCAGGACACTCTATTACAAATCTCAAGGTTGATTGGACAATTGAGTGAGACACTGCTAACACATACATTCAACATTTTTGCCTATCTTGAAAGAACTCAACAAACATAATGGATGTTAACACATTATAATAGTTAACTGATAAAATACCTGTAATCTGTTTCACATGTCACCTACATCTTCACAGCCATCCTGTCTCCCCCACTTTTCCCCACCTCATCTAATTGCTATGTCAGTTTACCTATTCCACGAATCTGATGAAGTGAGCTGTAGATTATGAAAGTGTCCGACTTTTAATGAAATATATAAATTTGCGAAGGTTCTACTAGACTTCTCCTGATTTTTAACTTCTTCCTTCTTTTTAAACAAAACATGAGACCCTGGTAAGGATAACACAATGTGCTTAGCAATTCTGGAATCCCAACTAATAGAGGAGTCAATGGGATCATAAAATGGGGACCGGACAGAATCCATTGAAAGACGGCATGCTTGACTGAATCTCTGAAAGGCATATTCCACACTGCAACATTTTGTGAGAAAATCCATTTGTTGGACCCAGCCTCCATCTGTTTTCTTTTTTTTCTCTTATCAATTTGATATTATTTCCTTATCTCTATTCTGAAACTAAATGGTCCCTTTTGGCAAAATGAAAGCAAACTCTAATTTTAAGTGATAGAATTGCAATGAGATTTTTATTTATTTATTGTCGGCGGGTGCTAAGAGTAATGGGTTACGGCTGCAAAAGAGAAAAAAAGAATAAGATAATTATAGCTCAGCAATATATCCTCTCGCAAATTGTCTCTTTCTACTATGACTTACCGAGTTTGAAAGCACTTCTGATCTGACCCAGAACAAACCTAATGGGTAACAGAATGCAAGCTGATATTACGTTATAAAATAACTGATAAGAACTCCTTCTATATTTCAGGTCTAAATTTAGAACCATTCCTTATAGATGTTTTCCTTTTGTTAAATGTTAAGCAAATAAATCAGTTTAAAAAAAAATCCCACAACCATCGCCCCAATCCCTTAAGTTTTGTGATTTATATATTACTTTGAATAAATTGCAATACATTTTAATGTTCTGAGGAAACCAATTCTGTAAATCTAACTGAACTGACAGGATGGGGAAGAGAAAGAGTAAGAGAGAACAATGAACAATTAGATTCAACCCCAGTGCAGCAGCTTTTTGCAAGGAGAAATAAACCATTATTTATTATTAAACTTAGATATGTGAGAAGAAACCTATTACACTTAGAAGAAGAGACGAAGTGAAGGGAATAAGAAGAAACTAGCTTATTGGACTCCAACTTCCATTACCTACAACATGACCAATAACCAGGATTAATGATTAGATGGTCACAAGTCCCCCATCTGTAGCTAGGAAACAATAATGGGAGGTGGGCATGTATCTCCCCTTCATTTGGGAGACCTCTGTGAGAAACAAGCTAAGGACTAAGGATGAACCATGGTCTGATCCAGTGGTGGGATTCAAATATGTGAACAACTGGTTCTCTGTGTGGATGCTGTTTCTGGAAGTCCATTCTGGGCCTGGGAAACAAAAAATTAGCTACCAGTTCTGCCGAAGTGATGCGAACCAGCTGAATCCTACCACTGATCTGATCCAACAAAGCTGCTCTTACATTCTGAAATTTTCTGAGAAGTTAATGCCAGCTCTCGCACTAAATAAAAAGTGAGAATAGAAACCAAAGAGTAGTGGATAAAAATGCCCACCTCAACAATAGAGCCATCTAAGCCAGTCCACAATTGACTGGGAGACCCAGGCCAAGACTTGAGGAGTTATTTTTTTTGAATATCTAAAGGATGGATCTAGTCTAATTTTGGATGGAAGACTGTTCCATAAAGCAAGTGTTGCAGTAGAGAAGGTATGTCACCTGGGACCATCAAATGAAGATCTGTGGCTGATGGTACCTTCAACATGCCTGCTCTGCCCAATCTAGAGCGGTGGGCTGGTGTAACCATGGAGAGATAGAATTTGTCCTCCTGAAATCTCACAAGTTGTAGTTTCTTATGGACTCTCTTCTGAACCAGCACAGCCATGTCAACAGAGTGCAGTCAGTAGGACTTGCTTTCTGAATCATTTACACTGATTTATCACTGATCCCCATATGGTAGCTAATGGTCCCTGGATTACCATCTGTGTTCATAGCATTTCCTGGAATGAGTGCTGCCTGAATTCACGTGAAAGGTAAGCATTAATGGATTCGGTCCAACAGCATAATCTCTTGAAAGGAGCTCTTCAATTGCTTTTTGGAGAAGTATCTCTCCCTTTAGTGAATCTAATATACAGCCACACTGGAATTCTGGGAATTATTTAATACTGAATGAACTGAAATCAGCTAATTAGAAGGATTCCCTCACCCCAGAAACAGCGAGAATCTTCTTTGTAACAGCCAGCCTGGCACAAAGAGTCTGAACACAAGAGTTCATTTGCTGTTTATGGAATTCAGAGAACATTGTACAATTTCAAGTATTTAACATTTCCCTGGGTGCAGAGCAAACAAATTGCAAAGCAGATCTAATCCTTTGGCCTCCATCAAAATCAGAAGCTTGTTTTGTTTTCTGAAGAATGGAAGAAATCGTAAGAGAAAATAAACCAGCATTTTTTCCATCCCCTGGCCAAATCTAATTCCATGGGTTAGTGACTGCGAAGGGGAGCATTTTTTTTCAGACTGAAGGAGAGTAAAATTGGCTATGCTTCGATTATTTAACTGAAATGAAACCATCAAACTGTGAAGTTTAATTTTTTAACACTTATGACCACTGTATTAGGTATTAAGAGAATATTTTTCCATGATGAAGAATAACACAAACACATAAATGTATTTATCTGTCCTGGGTGAGCGAGAGAAAAAAAATTAACGATGTTGAACCATCTTATGCAGAAATGTACACAACAATAGACCCAACTTACAAAGTTCAGATTTCCCCAAACAAAACAGAACAGTCTGCAATAGAAAGTAGGCAATCTGATAAACAAAAGTCAGCCAATCTGTTATAGTGATTAAGGCACCAGGCTAGAAAACAAGAGGCTATGAGTTCTATTCCTGCCTTAGGCAAGAAAGCCAGTTGGGCCAGCCATTCTTTCACAGCCCCAGGAAGCAAGCAATGGCAAATCCTACAGCTATACTGCAGCAAATCATGAAACTGCCACAAATCTGTTTATTTATTTATTTTATTTATTTTATTTTATTTGATTTATATCCCGCCCTTCTCCCAACGGGACTCAGGGCGGCTCACAACATATTAAAAAACATAAATACATTTGCTACCCCACCGAAGTAAAACCAATTAAAACCGAATATTTAAAGTTGTGTTATTTAAAAATTACTCCTAAAATAAACCCGATTTAAAATCCTCCCTAGGCCAGGCCCGCTTGCTG